GGGGGGGCGCTCGCTTGTCCCTTCCTAGGAAGACCCCGAAAATCGCCGCTTCCCTGACGAAGTTTCCCAGGCGGCCTTCGCGGGGAGGAATGCGGGACGGGCGCTTCGGGATAGGGGTAGCCCCGGGGAGGTGGATTTCAAGAACAGCTGTTCTCAACCCCTTCTTCCGCCGAGGAGGGGCTGGGGGGAAGCCAGGCCCACGCGACAGGGCAGGCGATACAAGCAAGCAGCTGCCAATCGCCTAGCAAAGTTACTTACTAATCAAGCCCCCCCAAACACACACACACACACACACACAAAGTGGGAAAGCACTGGCCAGGGCCAGGAAGAAAAGAAGATAAACAAGCGAGGGGGGTTGATAGCTGTCATCATCACCCCCATCATGGCTTTCATTTGGCTGCCTAATGAGTCAGATCACAGGCAGAGAGAAAAATTGTCAATCGCCCAGGCTCTAATGAATTTTTTTGCAAATTGTAATCAAGCCAGGCCGTCTCAGCTCGCTGATTAATGAGCCCCAGGAGGCTTGGCCGGCACCTCAGCTTTTTATTCCATCCCGTCCTCCCCGCACTAAATTAACAGCAACTTGTCTGAGCTTCAAATTAACTCCCAATGATTAATTCTGATGGGGGGGGCCTGAAGAATAGCTCCTCCTAATAGGCGCTGGCCTGGGATGCTGTTTGAAATTAATACACTTCCCCTTTGGCTGCCTGCTTTAATCCACGGCTGGGCTTTGACATCACTATATTTGTTGTTACAATAAATTCCGCTCGCAGCTGCGGATCACATCACACGGGGGGCAGAGGGCCGGGGCCAGAGTTGGAGTTTTCTCCGCCGCCTTCGCAGCCGATTGGACAGTGTTATCAAGATTAGAGTCTTTTTCTCCCCCCAAAAGTCAGCGTATCGCTCATTTTGATGCCAGAAAACAAATCCAATTTTTTGTAGGATGCTATTCTATCGGGTCAGCTGAATTTCATTTTGAACACACGGCTGGTATTTATACACTGCTCTCCTTAGGAAAATCGCATTCTCCCCCACCACTGCCACACACACACGTGACCCACCTGAAAAAAACCTACAGGAAGAGGCCACGCTAGCTGTGCGTAACTGACTGGGTTTAAACTTGGCAACTTTCTTTGCACGGCGGTTAGAAAAAAAGCGAAGCGAGGTTTTGAGAGGCGTCCTTCCCAAAGGAAAGGCACTACCAGGCTCCCATTGATCAGGAATTGGGACTGATCAATTTGGGTTTTACCCCTCCCCTCCCAAACTCTCGATATTTCTTTAGTCCTCGGATTTGCATTTATATATATATAATTAACACGAGCTCCCCTCCCTGCTTGGTAGCGATCTTTTAAGTTCCCCCGCTGGCAGCGTTTCCCCCTGGTGTTTTGATAGCTTTGATGATCATGATTACACGTTGTATTATTGTAAACTCATCGCGCTATTCCCTGTCTTGCCTGCAATTTACCACGACACATATGTCTCTGGGGTAAACACATCTGTTTTAAGAAGCCGAGACACCTCCCCCCCCCCCCTCCTTTGAAGCATCGCGCTATTCCCTGTCTTGCCTGCAATTTACCACGACACATATGTCTCTGGGGTAAACACATCTGTTTTAAGAAGCCGAGACACCTCCCCGTCCCCCCTCCTTTGAAGGGTCAGACAGCTCGTCCATCTTGTTTCTGTTTGTATTGACTTAATTGGTTTAATTATTTCAGCTGTGATTGGCAATACTCAGCATTGTACCTTTTTAACTGCCCCAGGGGTCTGCCAGTGATCTCTGTCACAAGGGCGACGCTTGCTTCGCGAGCCTGCAATTTACAAAAGTCCCTTTGTGCCGAAGAAGGCAGATACAAGTGGGACCGTTGGCTTTCCGTGGGGGGGTTGTTCTCCCCCGCACCCCAGCCTCGGTGGGGTGGGAGGGGAGATTTGTGCTTTCGCAATTAATTTATTATGATCGGTCTCCGATGGTCTCCTGAGACCGGGGGAGGGGGAGACTTTCGCTGCGTAAGGCGCTGGGTTGGACATTTGGAAGAGGTCGTTTGCAAAATAATCGTGTTGGCAAATCCAGTGGCCGGACCGAAAGGGGAACGCAGCCCGGTCAGAAAACAATGCACGTAAGAGCCACAACAGAAATAAAGCCGAGCCAAACTGAGGGGACTTAGTGTCTTTTCCCGAGAAAGGGGGAGGGGGGGAGATAAATTTGGAAATATGAAATCAGGCGTTTGAACTCGGCCTGTTTTAAATACGGTGCGATTAAAACATACTTTAATTTCGATTTTAAAAAACACCTGAAAATATCCCCCAAATCCTTCCAAGGGGCTAAGCGAGGAGTATTTCGAAAGAAAGTTTATGGCTCTCCAGGCAGACCGAATAATCGGGTCAAACAGCATGCCCGGGAAGGAAGATGCCATTGCAGTTCAGAGGACGACCTGGTCTGCTTCGGTAAAGACCCGGATAACACTGATCTCCCCGCAGGATCTCGGACCAAGCCACATTTCTATACTGGGAGGGAGCAAACCTAAGCAGCGAAATCAATCTTCATAAGCCGGCCCTTCTGGTGTAAACAAGAGACATATGAGCCGGGTAGCTGAACATGAATGCAAATCACACTGTCACCGTAATAAAGCACCTGAAACACTGACACACAAAAGCAACACCATATGCATGGAGACAACCTGGATGAATTATCCATTGCATCATAAAAACGGATGGCCCATTTCTACCCCTCCGCAGCGCGCACAGCTCGGGGGGAACATGCCCCCTCTTGCTAAAAATCACGAGGCCTTTTCCTGGCGATGACCCCCCTCCCCAATTAACCGAGACACTCCCCCTAGCATGGCCAGGGACAAGAAGCATCAGGGATGTGCCACA